CATGAGAAACAAAATCCATTTTTTTTTGAGACAAGGTTTGTCTGTATCTTTGGAATCTATCCTGAAACGCTGACCTCAAATTCAGAGAGATCTGCCTGCCTCTGCTTCATGAGTGCTGGGATCAAAGACATGCACCATCACCACCCAAAGAGAAACAAAATCTTAATAAGCAGTTTGTTTTAGGAACTCTTAAAACTATTAACTATTGCCGGGCAGTGGTGGCGCACGCCTTTAATCCCAGCACTCAGGAGGTAGGCGGATCTCTGTGAGTTCGAGGCCAGCCTGGTCTACAGAGCTAGTTCTAGGATAGGCTCCAAAGCTACAGAGAAACCCTGTTTCAAAAAAACAAAAAACAAAAACTAAAACAAAAAACAAAATACCCTATTAACTATTTTATATCTAAACTAAGTATTTCCATATTACTCTATATTTCTATTCTATTATATATATATTGTCATATTGCTACAAATAGCATATTTCTATCATAATGTTTTATGTTAAACTATATGAAATTACCATTTTTGTCATTCAGATATCATTGGGTATTGTTATCCATTGTCTAGGTAAAAGATGGTTGGATGTTGGTAACTTCAGCTAAACCTTTGATACTATCTGGAAGATTTTTTCTTTTCCCTCATGTTTCTAATGATTTATGGACCTATTATAATATAAAAATCTTTCAAGTTTGTTTAATCTGAGAGTGAGAATAATTAAGGAATAAATCATTTCAGTTGTAACTAACCTTCTTGCACAATTTAGTGAAACCCTTTTTTTTTTTTTTTTGAGCCACATACACTGTTATCACACTTCAAGCGGTATCAGTCACAACAAACCCTTAAAAAAGTAAAGTTAATCTTTGGTTGCTGCTAAAAATTCGGATAATCTTAGAATATACTACTGTAAGATGGCAACTTTTCTGATATTATTTTCCTCCTAGCACTTAATATACATTCTATTCCCATTCACATCCCTGAAAGTGTGAAGTCTGGTTCGGTAAGTCATAAAAGTGCTGTGTGCTTCACTGGTTAGATAATTCAGAAGATAGCACCCTGGACTTGGCACTTGACCTTTTCAAAATTGAAGAGTGTTTTGCATCTCATCCAATATCCAGGGCTCTTGAATTTCAACAAAGGCAAAGTGACCTTGGAAGTTAAAATGTCACATAAAAACTGATATCCAAACTATCTTTTACAATAACTTCAGTTCTCTTTTTTATGTGCATGGAATGTATATGAGAAACAATCCTTTCATATGCATAAGGAATAAAACCGTCTTCTGTTCCTTCTACGTTCTCCAACTCCTTTCCTGACTTGTTTATGATAAGCCGAGCTACATAAATAAATATCACACCTGTAAGGAGAATCTGCACATACAAAAATATACAAAAAAGGATGCCAATTTCCTAAATCATACTCTACTGGACAACCATGATGTAAATCTTAATTCTTTAGAGGACATTTTACAATAGCTATAAATGATGCTTACAAATATTAATACTGCCCTGCCTGACGCTAATATAAACAACTAAGTTCGTCTCTAAATTCTAGCAACACAAAGTGACAATAAACATTTATGACACTGTGGACCTTTGAGGATTTCAGCTCCAGATAAACTACCCTGACTCATCTAGAGAGAGGTTACACAGAATTGGAAGTGTCTAATATACAGACACTGATGAAAACCATTCTAACTCATGAGCTATGCATGCTTATGTCATTGGCAAGTTGATTCGTCTGTGTAGGATATATTCTTTTTGCCAGAGATATCATGTATCATCTTAGCTAGAAACATACAATCACATCCCATTATGATGAACTCTCAGTGTTTATTCAAATTCCTTCCTCTTGTGGAATCTTGTCAAGTTAATACTTCTTAACACTTGTGGTCTTAAAATTTTCCATTGTAAATCAACTGCCATTTTGGCATTTGGCTGGATCTGGCCTTATATGACTGTAGTCACACTAACAATTCTGAGTTTGTTGAATTTGAAATTTATAATACTTAGCACATTATAGAGTTTTTTAATAACCAAGGATACTCGGGTATTCAATATTTTATGAAACTTTTTTCTTCTAAATGAAGACATATATATATATATGATTTGATATAGTTTTACATTACAAACAAAATCAAGATTTTAAATAACCTGATTTAGTTAAGTACAAACAAGCATTTTTATAGATGACAAATTATTAGACAGCTTATTTATGTGTAGAGCAAAGTGCTTAGCACTGCATTTCTTCTTGGTCTTCTGAAGTGTTTACTGTTAATTTAGGGCCAGTCATTAATAAACAGAACTAAACACTGGTCTTGAATACATTCACGAATCTGCTCTTGCTTATATTTCATTTTGCAATCATATTCTAAGGATGAAGAGTTTATCTAAGAAGTCCAGAAGGGCAAGCATCCTAAATCCAGGCATTGTTAGCTTTATGAGCATATTAAACACTCAGTCTTTATTGCAAATGGGCCTTAGCCATGAAAACGTGTAGTTTCCTCTCACGTCATGACTAAGTAATTTGAAAACCCTGTGGGCTGAAAATGGACAGAAAGGTTGCAGGCAGATTGTCATCAGGAACAATGGTCATCAAATCAGTGCAGGGAACCTACCCCAAATATCCCAAAGAAGGAAGGACCTGGCGCCTGTCCTGCTTGTCCTTTTTTTACTGCAAATACCTGTTTTGTTTACCTTTGCGGAGGTTGTTTTGTTTTCTGAAATAAATTCCGAGGTAAAGTTCAGTGACAGTGTCTGGGGAGCTGTGGAACTTCTTACCCACTTCTGGACTCTAAGGGCATCATCTCGTCCTGCCCTCACTCACCTCCCCTACTGTGCCAATATTGTCTAATGTATTATTTTGCGGTGTTTATATGTACATATATATTATATTTACTTTTAATGAATACTCAAATTATTTTTAAAATGCAATGTAAATTTTGAGGAAATATTAAAGATTCTCATGCATTTTATTTTGTACAGCTTCGAGAAGTTTTGAACATTTTCAGTTCATTGTACTTAGTAAAATCAGGTTTGAATGTTATTACTGTAAGATTAATTCTAAGAAGCTTTAAATACTGTAGTTTATTGTCCTTAATTTTAGGAAGCTTTAAATATTATAATGTTCTTTGTGATCATTGCTAATAGGTTGGAGTGCCAGAAAGCCAAACTCTCAGTCCTTTCCCAAGCTTTCACATGCTTTTTTTGTCACCTTAAGAACCTTTGTATCTCCCTTCAGTTCCCAACCAATTTCTTATTCTTGTTTATCTTCGTCTTGCAAAAGAAACAACAGAACCACTATTTTTAAAATGAAAAGTTAAAAAAGAACCCAAGGACTCGAGCATGTGACTAATCATGAGCAACACATCTTAATTTCAACCTTGACTCAACTCTCCCAGGAAGTTACTAAGACTCAGTCCTCCACACTCTTTGAGGAACTGCCGCGCAGATTCCACAACTGACCTAAAGATTCCTGGAGTCAGTTTAAAGGGGGAGCTTGTGCTGCCTTGTTATCTGACTGGATGCAGAAGGTAGTAAGGCAGCTTCTTTCTCTGTTGTTTTCAAGAGTGACAACTAAATTGATTTAGCAGATTCTCTGACTGCTAGGCTTCTCCACAGGGCCTTGCTTTCCACAAAAGCTCCTAGTATATGTTTATTGAGCAGGTCTCAATTTGCATAGGTTGCAAAGCATTGAGGGCAGAATGTAGCTCCATCAAGCCTGCTTATCATTCAACTGTAATTCAGTAGCGATTTGCTAGGAAAATTCCGGTTTTTACTGCTGCTCTAAAACACAGCATAAGACTTACCAATGAAATAAATCGTGGTGAGTTCTCAGTCAACAAAAATAGACAACCACAACTGTCTTGTATCGTTGGTATCTGATCCCAAGTGACATTTTAATTTTGCTAGAGGAATTGATGAGTAGTTCCCACAGGAAACGGGGGAGGAGTGGGGAAACTAACCTAACCTAACCTCATTCAATCTTTGTCTGACAGGAACTTTACCTCCCATTGTACTAGACATGTCATCTTTAATAGCAGGCCGGCAGAAGCACTAATGCTGTGAACACTGTGACTTTGTTTTGAGCATTAACTCTATTAAGGAATTCCTGATGCTCTTCCCCAGTGACAAACTTTAGAAAAGCCCTATGGCCACCACTGTAAGATGTTCATACCAAGACTAATAAAGAAGATACCCTTGCTGCTGGTATTTCACAGGAGGCTTTCCAAGTTCTTGTTTACTTATCACATCCTTTTGTGTGATGCTCACATCTACTCTGTTCATTAACAGATAGAGAAGGGAAGCCGGCAGCAGAGCCTGCTTGCCCTTTCCTTTGCAATTCTAAAATTCCTTGAGGGCTTCTCACCCGAGTCACCTGGGGAGTTTCTGCCGCTGCTGGGAGAAAGTGCAGAGGGGTTAACTATGCAGGGGAACAGCCCCAGGTCAGGGCTTCTGTGGAAATAGGCCAGCTTTCTCAGCCTTCAGGGAGGATCTTTCTGAGGAGTGTTCTACCTGATCTTCTAAAGGTCTCCAGCAGAGGGCAGGGGACTGATCTAACAGTACCTACAGCAGTACCCCAACCTACTCAGGCTTGTCTGTCTTTCTGGCTCACCTTTTCCATTTCCCTAGTGGTGCTACTAGAGCTTTTCTCCTAAATAAACTACTCCTATCTGCATCCCCTACTTGGGTCTGATTTGAGGAAACACACCCAACACACTAGAGCACAGGCAAGATTGGTATTTGCCAAATACCAATTTATCCATGGGTATTTAATAGAGTTATTAAATGAAGGAACATGGCTAGAGCCAAAGTCTTTGTTTGACTTTCTGGCATTTGTATCAGATTAGGATGTTCCTCAGTTGATGGAACTTGGTCCAGACTTTCTCAGGAAAGTGAAAACTCTGTATCTGAAAAAAAATTATTAGATGGTTCTTTGAGAAAACTAGTTACCGCTATAAACAGGAAACAAAGAGCAAAAACAAGGAAAATGAAAGGCAATAATTACCTAGCATGACGAAAGGGAGTCCCAGGAAGGTGGAATTGTATTTTCCACCAGTAAGATTGATGATTCCAGCTGCAGTGAGAGTGGCTAGGCTTATGCTCACCAATCCAAGTAGGCCTAACCAGGGTTTGCTGCGGACACAGTCCTGCATCGAGCAGCAGAGGATGGCCATGGTGACTACCAGGATCAGGCTGGTGACCAGGTAACGTTCTGATACACGGCTGGTCTTCTGGAAATCTTCCCTCAGTGATGAGGATATGTATGGGTATATTTTGACTTGGTCGTTGGATTTCTGGAATAGTTTGACAGTGTCGCAGAAGCTGGATTCCCACCTCTCAGCTACCATGTCATTGAGACTGTTGATTGACTGCAGATAGTAAGTGAGCTGAATGGCCTCTGCAGATTTCACCCGATCCTTGCTGTGGACAGTGACACCTCCAAGTTGGTGCCCATTATAGACAGCCCTTCCATCCTTTAAGTGAGTGATGGGATATGTAATAGCAAAGTTGGTCCGGTTGGTGGCCCGAGCATTCTTCAACTCTTCCAGGACATGTATTATGTCATCCACAATGCAAGTCTTATCATTATTCAGGACACATATGTGGGCAAATGTATAGTTAAAGCCAGGCCTTGGAACCTGAATCTTGGTTACAGCAGTATGCAACTATGGGGGAGAAAAACAACAGTTAGATTTTTTTAATGAACAAGTAGACATTAATAAGTAACATTAGCTCCAGAGATTAAAATATTTCTTTTTTTTTTGGAAAGAAAAAGTCATTAGTTTAATGTATAAAGAAGAGAGTTTAAAAAATGCTTTGCCCATAGACACAAGTCTGTAGTAGAGGTTGAAGACATACACTGAATTAGTAGTTTTCAGCGTGGCTCCCAGTATAGCAGTGTCAACCAAACAGCTTGTCAGAAATGCAAATTTTTAGGCCCTATTCCAGACCTGAGAAATCCAATTCTCTGGAGTGCAACCTAGGTAGATCTTCTGGCAGATTCTGATGGTGCTAACATTTGCGAAGTATTACCTTCAATTACCAATATTACTTCTATGTTCCTTTTATTTGTCACCAAAATAGTCAATAATGTTTGCAAATCTTACATAGGTCTCTTGTTTATTATTTTTCTTGGAACCATGATGTAACAAGTGAAAGAAGGTACGGTTCTGAATGCAGAGGTCTTCTGAAGGCTAGTCCCTTACTACCAATTTCCAGGGCACCTTAATAAGCGTATCCAATTACTCTCTACTATACAAGTCAAGAAATTTACCTTGATTTCTTGCTGGCTAGTTTTATGGCAACTTGACAGAAGAGAGAGTTAACAGAGAGGAGACTCCTCAAGTGAGAAGATGCCTCCATAAGATCAGGCTGTAGGCAAGCCTGTAGGACATTATCTTAATTAGTGATTGATGCGGGGAGGGTCCAGCCTTTTGTAGGTGATGCCATCTCTGAGTTGGTGATCCTGGGTGCAATAAGAAGGCAGGCTGAGCAAACCATGGCAAGTACCCCAGTAAGCCGCACCCTTCCATGGCCTCTGCATCAGCTCCTGCCTTCAGGTTCATGAACTGCTTGAGTTCATTACCTAATTTCCTTTGATAACGAAGAGTGAGTGGAAGTGTAGACCAAATAAACCCTTTCCTCCCCAACTTGCATTAAGTCACGGTGTCTCATCACAGCAGTGGTAACCCTAACTAAGACACTAACCCTGCTTCTCGGCTGTTCCTTGTCTGTACAGGTGGGAAATGCACTAAATGTTAAAAGTCTAGCTGAGACAAACTAAAATCATACTAAAGGAGCAAAATGGGACTTCTATACACTTTAAGGCTTGGCCTGACGTGTGCTTGTAGAGTATTTGCCTATTCTGTGCAAGACCCTGGTTTGTATCCCCAGTACTCTAAGAATTATTCTACACACCTTGACTAGTGTCAGATTGTGGTTGTGTCTAGTGACTTTATATTTGCCATCGAATAGCATGCAAGAAGCTAAATAACATCTACTACTCCATGCCAAGCACAGTTCTAGGCATTAGCACAGATTAGCTAACCTAGAATTTATACCAGAACACAAAGTAGATAGGAATACTGGCCTTATCTCCCAGGTGAGGCAACTGAGATATGAAGAACTTAAATCATTTGTCTAAGATCATGTACATCATAATAGGTTGAACCATGCTAAACCTAGCAGTCTGAACAGGGCCGGTGCTCTTAGGCTTTTACCATACATACCTCTAGGTGCCAGAACTGCAGTGAGGATTCCTGCCAGCAGCTGATTCCTGAATTCGTGCTTTTTTAACTCTGCTGCTAAAATTCACATGGAAGTGTATATAGAATCTAATATCTGAAGTAAGAAAACAGGTAGTATGTTTGTGAGGGGATTATGGGATTTAAATGAACTACTACCATGTGCCAGGGCATCACACTTTACCTCCTCTCGGCAATTCAGTTTAGAATGAGAATTAAAAAGGCTCATGGAAGTCTTGCAGCTAGGGCTAATTGGCATCTTAAAATGGCAGTATCTTCTGGTTCAACTATAGATACATAGGCCCTCAGTTAACTGTTTCAACTCCACAGTCAGTTATTTTCATGATGGCTTTGTTGTACCTGTGTAAATGTAGCTGGTCTGCAAAAATGAGGCCAGTGAGAGACATGTGTTGAAGTGTTAAATAAACAAGTGTATCTATGGCTCTGCCTAACATTCAGTGGACTCTCCCACAAGAGTCTGCATGACCCTGCTATATCTTCTCTCAATCTGTTCTAAATGGATTATTGGTTAAGATGTTTTACTGTGTGTGTGTCTGAGTGAGGGGGAAAGTAAGCTTTTTTCAAAATGTCTCAGAAGCACCAGCTGTTAAAGTACTTTACTTAGCCCAGAGATGGAGTGGTTCATCCTAACTCCCAGTGTCCCCTTCCCCCACATCTCTTCATGAACACAACCCCTTAGGCTCAGAAGAGATTTGTTGTATTTTCGTTGGCTAAAATATTTTCATTTCTTTAACATACACATATAGTCTTCTAAATATACCTAGCAGGCTATTTTTATCGTTTGAACCATATGCTGAAGTTTTCTATTGATATTTTGGGATTAATGGCCAGAAAACACCTTTCAAAGGTTTTAAGCTCTGAAACTATCTTTCCACCCACTTTTGTCTGAGCACAGGCCAGCAAGTCTTGGTTAGGATTACTACTAATCACTGAAAATTTCCAAATGCAAAAGGTTATTTTGGAAGAGGAAAAAGTAAAGGAGAATGTAAAGATGAGTGAATTTTGATAAGAATCAAAGACTTTGTGTGAAAGAGCCAGAACAGAGAAATGATATTGAAAGAATGTATATGTGTAATATTTAGTGCATTGTTTCTTTCCATAAACAGCGTAATAAATATCCCTTAGAGTGATTACCAAATATGTCAAGAGGAAAAGATTGCCAAATAAGATGGTGTTAAGCCACAGGGCTGAACCCAATTATAACAGGGGATATTTTTCCATCCATTTCCTCCAATGACCATGCCCTGTTAGTTGGGAAGGTATAAACTATTTAGCGATCTGCCAACTTTGCAAATCTACTGCTGTGACCTCTGGGAATACACATGGAAGGAAGGAGACACCATATTAACCCCTGTGCTAGCCAACGATTGCTGAGAGTTTTGGAAAATGGGAAGGAACCTTGCTGGCTTGAGACCAGAAAATGTCTTAACTCAGCAGTAGAGATGCTGTGAGATGCAGTTGTCTTGAATTTCTGATGGAGTAGTGGGTGGCACATGTATCACTCTGCTTCTGAGCCATAGGGTAACAGAGAATAAACGACAAAGCAGTTGGGTGGTGCTTAAGGCCACCCACCTGGCAAGGGAAACTATGAGATTGTGCTGTAGAATAAGAGATGTGAAGGTAGAATAGAAATTGAAAGTTGAGATGCCTCTTTGTGACTTTTGAAACCACTCAGCTCTCATCATTTATTCTAATGACTACATGTCAAGGATAAACACATTTCACTCTTGGACACTAACATTGTCATGGTCAGATATCTTACATATAATACTTAGATATCTACATGTTTGCCTGGTTTTAGAATGCTCTGATTTGCTTTCTGAAAGGAGCCCTAAGGAGAGAAGTAGAACCCTGGCATTCTAAGTTGTGTTACAATGTATATTCGCAAGATTTAGGGAAAAAAATGAAAATCCAGAGAGATCAAAGTTATGCTTCAGCTAGACTATAATATAAAAAGCAGCAACCAACATGAGTGTAGTAAAAATTTGGTTAAGAGGCTTTAAGAAAAGAAAAGGAAGAGAAAGTAAGACATATTACTAGCCCTGACCCTTAACATAGCCTGAATCTGTCACATGGATCATGGAAAATCTGCTTTTGTATGGCTATCTATAGATGCCATTAAGCCAAGACACATTCAGTAAGTACTCACCAAAATCTACTCTGTTGTTAGTAATATGATAATTTTCCTGAATTTAGTTTGCTTGCATTCATGCATGCAAAATTACATGAAATACAGTATTGAAAATGAGAGGATTCTAACAAAAAACAACACCAAGGACTTTGTAATAGTAAAGCCCATGCCTATATAAATCCTGATCATGACATTTTGATTATTATATATCTGCCTCTAAAGACATTAGGCTTGAATGCTAAATTGAAATTCATTCCAAGCCTCTGAACATATCATTTAAACTGTCAGCTTCTTTGCTCTTTTCACCCTTCATGTTAAGAATAATAATAGTACTAGTGACGAGTCTGCTAAACATTTTAAACACATTTTAAAACTTTATTCAAGATCAAGACTGTGGAAATGTTTAAATTATTACTCCCATTTTGCAGCTGAAGCAAGTGAGGCTTAATGAGCTTCAATAAGTCAACTAAGACTTGCAAAGTAAAGGGCAGATGCAGGACTCTAAATCAGGCCCAATTTCATAGCAGAACACAGTCTGAGACCAACAAAAGTTCAGCAGAAAGGACAAAGAAGAATCAGACAAAGATGGAGAACTGTCAGGCTACCTGGTTCAGATAGCTAACTGCCAGTGTTATGACTGAGCATACTTGAAGATTCAATAAGAGAGATCAGAGATGATGCAGACAGATAAGCTACACCTCATCTTTAGACTTCAACATCACATGACAATATGAACAAATAGTGAATGGGGTAGGTTAGGAGCTTATACTTTTCTATTCTTCTTACAGTGTCTAGAATTGCCAGATAAAGCTTTTCAGAGACGAGCTTATTAGTTATTCCGCCTTTGAGCCAGGAAGCACAAGAGAATCTAGTAATAAGATGTGTGGGATTCCAACATGGCTTCTCTGCTTACCTTAGATATGCTGGAGATCCTAAGCATGTCACACTGCTGCTTTTGGTCTAAGACTTCAGGTCTCATATTTTCAGAATAAGAAGGGTACTTGGGCCTAGCTGATTCTGTTGTTGTTGTTGTTGAATATAGACTCTTCTCCCATACAATACATTTCAACCAGTTTCCCCTCCCGTTACTTCTGCTGGCTAGCTCCACCTCCCCTTCACCTTCAGATCCACTCCCCTTCCTTTTCCCTTCAGAAAATCTTCAAGAGATGACTGTCAAATAAGACAAAAGAAGATAAAATAAGACAAGGCCAATTCCCTCATACTGAGGCTGGACAAGGTAACCAAATAGGAAGAAAGTAGTTCCACAAAC